CACACACACACACACACACAGAGTCAGATATTGAATGTAAGTTGCATTACAATGTAAAATATTAAAACTCTCCTCTCTCTTTCTTTCTTTCTTTAATTTCTCACACTGTAATATAACTTACGTTCAGTATCTGGCAATGTACTTGCAAGACTGCTCGAAGTTGAAGTTAATGTTGTGGCACTTGGTGGACGAGGCGGAAAACCTTCGCCTCGTATAGCGGCTGTGTGTGCTACCCATGCACCAGGATCTATGGGACGTACCGGTTCTGTACGAGGTATCGTAAAGTAACCTTTTGGATTTGGATCCCAACATTTTGCAACGACAAGTTTTATTGGTCTAAAAAAAGAAGCACGATATAACACACAATCTTATCTCAATAAATTTCATATTTTTCAAAACATTATATACCATTAATGGATAAAGGTATCACAATCGAAAGTCTTACCCTGGTTTTTGCACAACCTCGCGTAATACTCTCACAGCTTCATCATTGGACATATTTTCAAAATTAATGTCATTGACTTGAAGAATCATGTCACCAGGCTCTATTCGACCATCTAAAGCAACTGCTCCCCTATTTCAGGCAAGTTGTAGTATAGTAAACAGTAGAACATCATTAGAATACAGTGTCACATACTATACATATATGGTTTAATATATAAAAAAAAATTTGTTCATACAATTGCAATATAACTAGAAAACTACGGAATCTGCTCTGTTCCCACGTAACTTAGTACAGAGATTATTGATATCTTGAATTACTATTAAGAAATCTCGTTTAGATTTTATATTCAAATTTATGCAATAGTTTAATAAAGACATACATTTTACCGAAATTGTCAATGGGACGAAAGAACAAGAATCTCGATGAACAAGAACTGATAAGGATACGTATGCTTGTTAATGCAAGTAACTGGAGAAGAGAATACACACGCGCGCGCGCGCGCGCGCATGCACGCCGCACGCACACACATATATGTATATACTAACCCTTTCATTATTGAACCGACATATATTCCACCGTCTCCACCTTTGTTGCTTTGACCGACAATACTAATACCAAGAAAATTAACAGTGTCCATATTTAATGAAACAGTTATAATATTTAAAGACATTGTACTGTCAGTAATACTACTAAATGACGACGTTCGAGACATTGGCGGTAATCTGTGTCGTCGTCTTCTTTGCGGTCGACGTCGGTCTGTAACAGAATTTACAAATTTGATACATGCTCGTATAAAAAAATTGTGGTATCGTTTATCCGTCATAAGATTCCGTTTTTTCCTCTTTTTTTTCATTCAAAAGAACATTCTCTCAAATAAATTTTGTCTTACCAAGAGTACCTCTATCGACTGTGCTACTCATATTGGTGTGTCGACCCGTTGTCGATGTAATACGACTGCTCGCATCGTCATCGGATTCTAAAAACGTTGTCGTTTCCAAATCTGAACTTAAGATAGAAGCAGTTTCATATCCATGGCCAGAGCGATGTTTCGAATGACCATTTATTCGAAGTCCTGTAAAATGCATTGCAAAAATTAAGAAATTATTACTTGCTGATATATGAGACTTTTATACATTCTAATTTCTTTAAAAATATTTTACATATAAATCTTACAAGTATGAAATAACAAAATCAATCGTGCAAAGTAACAAACATTAGTTAACATTCAATGAAAATGATATATACTCAGCTTACCATTATATTTATTGTATTTCTCATACTTTTCTGAATGATGCCTCGAACTTTTATGTAAATGATGTCCTTGACGACTACTTATAATACTTTCCGTTTCCGTCAATGTGTCGTCATGTGAGAGCGGAGCGTTTCCTCTGTTACCATGTCCAGGAGTTGTATGATCTACGCGGTCGTGTTTTGCTTCGCTATGCACCACAGAGTCTGTACATTGAGATGCGCCATCCGAAACATTACTACCTTCAGCAGATACCAACTGTCACAAAGTATTATTTCATTAAATAATATTTTAGAAATCTCTTTTTTTGGAGAGAAATAGAGATTACTATGTTCTAATATATACTCATAAAAATATTGTATTATACAATTACTTTTTTGACTTGTCAAGAAAAAGAAAACATTGATCTAACATAGCATTTTTTTTGTCCTAATTAGCAATAACAATTTAAATAGTACATATTAGAAAAAATATTTTAAAATCTTACCCAAGAAACAACTCGACCATTGAAGCATGGCAGATGAGCATCATCATCTATTATTTCCTCTTTTACCACTCTAATGAAAAAGAAAAATGTGCCTAATATGAATATAAATAAACAATAAAATACATTTTAATCACGATTACAGATTAGCAAATATATCACAAACAACTTTTAATAATAATTATTTTTATATATTTGAATTTACATATCTTCAGTATTAGCTACAAGTATATATTTTTTGTAATTCTGATACTTTTTTTATCATTCCCCAAATTTGTCACAAGTATCTTCACTATGAAATAAGGTTCAGCAATTAAACTGTTCAAAGTGCGTTAAGAATCATTACATCAAAATTTCACAAAATTTGATAAACATAAAAATATGAAAATAATAATAGAAACAGATTAAATGAAAATAATAGAAACAAAGTACACGTTTGACAAGAGAAATCATATGATATGACCATAGTTGGAAAGAGTTAAAACATTTCTTGCAGCATTGTCAAATCGATAGTCACATATATATATATATATATATATATATATATAAAAGCCAATCAAATATTTATACATACACACATATAAATAGCATAAGAGATAGAAACATGTGAATCAGAAAATACTAATTTATAGAGTCAGAGTTATCCATATTACGTTGAGGAAATAAAATTTAACGCAATATAATATGATACATCGCATACGATACAAAAAAAAGAACGAAAGGAATGATTTGAGCGGAACATCAATGTATCTTATCGGCATTTACCCAAAGTCATCGTCCATTGACTTGAAGAAATACTTGTAATTTGGCCGATTTAAAACGTTTTTGAAATCGGCCAGAGTCACTCTTTCCGGTGATATGTTGAGCTTCACCAGATATGGCGTCTCCTCGTCATCCATATGATAGATAATCTTTGTCTCTTCCATCATCTCGGAGTAAGATTGATAAACGAAATTTATTCGCGATGTAAAAACGATACGCAGGCTACGCAGGTTCTATCGTCTTGGATATTTTCTCAAACCAATATGGCGCGGTGTGCATCGAGCCAAAGCCCAGATACGTAAAAAGATCGCATATTCACAAGTCGGTGAGATGCTCGCGGATTTCGTCGATGAGGACGTAGTCACGCGGCGTCGCACCGTTCACGAGCAGGTCACTGGCATTATCCGTTGAACCTTCGTAAAACATATATCCGTAGCAATCGCCGTGACAAATTAAACGTCAACATCGCCGTCAGCGTTCAGAGCGTTCACTCGCTAAGCATATACTTAATAGAATTATATAGATAGGTACTGTGACCTGAGAGCACAGTATAATCAGTACGTACACTCCGCGAAAAACTGAGATTTCGCAGGTATTAGGGTGAATTCACACCTTGACAGAAAAGTGGAAAACAGAAAAGCAGAAGCCAATCAGAACTCGCGTTGGTAGTCAATAGTTTTTGTTTTCTGCTTTTCTTGCTACCAGTGCGAATTCTGATTGGCTTCTGCTTTTCTGTTTTCCGCTTTTCTGTCGAGGTGTGAATTCGCTCTTAGGTAGAGCTAGATTATCAGAGAAGTGCCACAGTATAACCACAGTATAACCAGTGTCCAGTAGGTACACTCAGCGAAAAACTGAGTCTTCGCGCAGGTATCACCACGCAACTTTTGTTTTGGGTTGGATCCAATGAAATGCAAGACGATAGGAACGTATGTACAGTCGGCAGCTAAAAGGTGGCAACACTTTTTTTTTGATGGGTTTCGGAACGCGCAAAAATTTTCAGAATGCGAATCACTGTCTCGGGAGTGGTTATGATAGCTGTCATAAGCTGTCAGTAAGTGATACAGAATCCGACATACATGGTGTGACCACATCGAAAACCGGTAAGATCACTCACTAAAAAAAACGATTTGTAACATTTGCGCTTTGGCAGACGACAATATATAAATTCCAAGAAAGGGTGAAAAAAGGGCCGATTGGATTGATGTTTCGGAAGGAACCCTTACGGTCAATAAACAACCCCTAGTGCCGATTAAAAATTTCTAACAGCGCCAAAAATGATTTGTAACATTAGCGCTTTGGCACACGACAACATATTCATGCCAAGAGCTTGTGAAAATAAGGCCGATTAAATTGATGTTTCGGAAGGCACTCTTATGGTCAATAAACAACCTTTAGTGCCGATTAGAAATTTCTAACAGCGCCAAAAATGATTTGTAACATTTGCGCTTTGGCACACGACAACATATTCATGCCGAGAGCGCGTGAAAAAAAGGCCGATTGGATTGATGTTTCGGAAGGCACCCTTACGGCCGATAAACTACCCCTAGTGCCACTTAAAAATTTCTAACAGCGCCAAAAATGATTTGTAACATTTGCGCTTTGGCACACGACAACATATTCATGCCGAGAGCTTGTGAAAAAAAAGGCCGATTGGA